CTCGTTGTTTTGTTTGATAAAAAAGAACTGTTTTATTACTAAAAGATTTTTGTTTGATGTTAAAGCAGAAGACTGGTTGTTACTTTCATATGTTATTTGATAGATACGTACGTCAAAGTTTACTACTTAGGCGATAAAAAACTACGATAGAAAACGGATGGTGACTGATAGGCGTACATTACGCGCTCATGCAGGCGTCAATCACTGCATTAGACGGTAGTTTATTCGTCAATCACAACCGTGATTGTTGTAAAACAGCCTGCATAAGCGTCTAATTTACGCCTTAGAATTTTATTAAAAAATTATAGACAGATACGTCAAACAATGTTTGATGAATTGAATGAATTTCATGAATGAATGATGAATGAAATTGAAAAATTCGTGAAAATAAATGTTTATTTTATAATACTTATAATTTTTATTTTATTTTACTTAATTCATTTAAATATTGCGATTATTTGCAAAGAAAACACACAAAACTGCCAATTTCGCGAGATATCGAAATTAGCGAGATCTCGCAGTACCTATTGTTATTCATAAACTCACGGGATCACGCTTGAGCCCCAAACTCGCGAGATTTGCATTCCCTATATTTTATGAATCAGTGGTAAATAAACATAAGAATTAATTTTAATAAGACAAAAATTCTACTTTTATTTCTAATGAATGTTCTCAGATGTTCGTGCCGTTGAAGTAGATATATAAAATCTAATCTATAAAATCTAAATATAAAAATTAATTTTTGTTTATTCGCATTGTATGCACTGCCATACCGTTCATCAGATTGCGATAAAACTTTGTCAAGATATTGTTTGCACTTCAACAAAGTTATAGGTATAGTTAGACTCGGTAGGTTGCGCCGCTGTCGTAGAAGCCAGATATCACCCGTGCGAAGCCTGGATAGATCGCTTGTATTTTAAAAATAACTAGCTATCGCCTCTTTATAAAAATCACAACCAACGTTATTCTAAGAGCTAAGACAGCACTAAGTTAAATATAGAACTACGCCCCAGATCTGCCACACAGGAACCGTGTAATTTATAAAAAGCCAATACGTTAATGACCTCTCTCTCTCACTCTACGCAAAAAATCATGTTCTATCTGTAGAATATTCCTTTGGAACGCTTTGGAATTTGTAATATTAGTGGGGATTAAGGAATGGGAATGGGATTTAATTTTCATCACACATGAAAATAAAATTAATGAGTCCGTCTGTAATATAGAAAATGTAATTTTCGATATTTCTTTTAATAGATTAAACTCAAGGTGATATTCATATGTTACTAAGACGTCAGTTTTTACGTTGTAGAGTCACGCTGCAGCTATATCAGTAGTACAGTTGTAGCACGTTTAGTTGCCGCCTTCAATGTGGTGGGAGGTAGGTACACTGTCGTGCAAAATTATTGGGTACCTTTATAATTTAATTCGTAATTGAATATTTTCGCTGACTTTTATGAAAATGTTTACTCGAATAAATAACATCACTTTTACTTTGATACAGTAACGTTGCAGATATTCGTGTCCGTTATTTTATTATCTACTATAAAGTATTTAATGTGTACCTGGTGGTTAGAATTGATTATTTTATTAAGAAGAAGGAAGAGGTGATATGTCTTCCATAAAATCTGGTGTTGCGGTGCGCCGTACAGTAGCTACTGAGACATTAGTCGCCTCAGCAGTCTGTTTATAAACGTCTATGATGTTTTTCGCAGTACCTAATTTTTTCATGTAACTAAGCACTGAATAGACTATTTGTCGGGATTGTCTATTTAACACCGAATTCTTCCTTCTCTGCAATAACGTAATAATATAAAACATAACAACAAAAATAATTAAAAACAAGAAATAACAAAAACAATTAATAACAAGGAATACACAAACAACAATTAACGACGAGGTAACAAAAACAATTAAAACGAAAATAAACTAATTAAAAAAGTTATCACTTAAATTATTGCTCTGAAGTGTACGGAAGCCGAATGATACGTTCGAAACCAATAGACGACGAGAATCGACTGATGAACCAATCACATTGAACGTTAGCGTGGTCAACGTCGTATCGACCAATAAAAAGTGTGCTCACGACTTATGTCGGAAATTATACGTGTTTCGTATGGTGAATTTTACTGGAAACGAGGCATTCCATCTTAGTCCTCACGGGTGATAGCGGATTTGCATTTTGATTCGTAATCGAGAATATATGTAGATGTCTATGGGCCACAGCAACCACTTTCCACCAGATGTACTGTGTGTTCGTTTGTCATCCTTATCTTATAAAAAAATAATCAAAAAGTGTCTGTCTGTTTGTGTGTCTGTCTACCTTTCTGTCCTGGTTAATCCTTGGAACGGCTGAACTGATTGTAATGAAACTTCATGAGCATGTGGAATGCAATGCCAGCGGTGATACGGCTGTATTTTATACGAATATAGAGGATATTTTATTCAAATCAAAAACTGATTAATAAATAAATAAAAATATTAATTATTTTGCAACCTTCCGCTAACTAAATACAATGATGTGTCTTACCTGGCTTGAAGAGCACCTCCCGCCCTCCCTAAATTGCGTGCACTAACTCCGTCACAGTCCCAGCACCACTACTCCCGGCACCACTACTCCCAACACCACTATTCCAGATAAGACACACCATCGACGATAATATACGACACGTGTTTCGCTTCTGCACGAGGCATCCTGAAGGTGATGTAGACTCTACGGCGGTTGACCGCTCAGCCGCGATCATGCATCATTGCATTTAGTTAGCGGAAGGTTGCAAAATAATTAATATTTTTATTATAATGGATTTCCGCAAAGTAACGCCTGATTCTATCAATTATGATAAACAAATTTTTTTTTCTACGATTATCACTTAAACTACTAAAGGAGCAAAACTTCTTCTGTTCGCAATTTTACACAAAATAAATCCTCAAATTTTATTTTCTATATCTTTTGATTAAAAATTCGTCTTATAGCATTTTCTCTACTTCTATGCCATTACGGTGAAAATACACAATACAATAAATTTCCCGCCGACAAACTGTTACGCAGTTTGATGGGTGTGAAAAATGTACAAAAGGTTTGGTCCAAAATAAATGATTTATTTATTATTATTATTTATTATTACATAAGCTTTTAACGTAAATTTTATAGATTTTTAAATAAAAAAAATCTGTGTCGCAAATAGTTTTCAAGGTAATATTTTTATAGGTACTCGTATATATATTTTTAATAGTTTTCAAGGTATATTGACTGCGATTATAGTAGTGGAAAATAATTAATAGGTTTTAACGCGTCTTTTCCGGTACTCCTACTCCCTAGGCGTAATCCCAAAATCATGGAAGACGGTTTTCGTCCACCCGATCCCTAAAAAAGGCAACCGCTCAGACCCGTCCAACTACCGGCCTATCGCCATCACCTCCTTGTCCTCCAAAACAATGGAGTCCATTGTAAACTGCCAGCTCATGAGGTACCTTGAGGATCACCAGCTGATTGGTGACCGCCAATACGGTTTTCGCCGTGGTCGGTCAGCTGGTGATCTTCTGGTCTACCTAACTCACAGATGGGCGGAGGCAGTAGAGTCCAAGGGGGAGGCATAGGCCGTTAGTTTGGACATTGCGAAGGCCTTCGATCGGGTTTGGCACAAAGCGCTTCTTTCGAAGCTGCCATCCTATGGGCTTCCCGAGAAATTATGCGATTGGATCACCAGCTTTCTTGCAGATCCGGACATCAAGGTCGTTGTAGACGGTGCAAGCTCCGATTGCAAGCCTATTAATGCTGGTGTTCCACAAGGCTGCGTGCTATCGCCAACCCTGTTTCTTCTGCATAACAATGATATGTTGCAAACCCGTAACATTCATTGCTATACAGATGACAGCACTGGTGATGCTCTTTACACCGGCCGAGCCAATATTTCTCGGGAAAACGTCTCCGAGTGCCGGGACAAACTTGTGTCTGAAGTCGAGTCTTTGCTGAACAGAGTCTCGGATTGGGGGCGACTAAATCTAGTCCAGTTTAACCCCCAGAAGACACAAGTTTGCGCGTTAACCGCTAAAAAGAACCCCTTTGTCGTATCTCCTCAGTTTCAAGGCAGTCCCCTTGTTGCCTCAGCCAGTATCGGAATCCTCGGCGTCGACATATCGAGTGATGTGCAGTTTCCTGGTCACTTGGAAGAGAAGGCCAAATTGGCCTCTAAAAAGCTTAGCGTGCTCAGCAGAGCGGGACAGTATTTCATGCCGGCATACCGCCTGCAACTTTACAAGGCGCAGGTTCGGCCGCACATGGAATACTGTTCCCATCTCTGGGCTGGGGCTCCCCAGTACCAGCTCCTTCCACTTGACCGCATACAGCGCAGAGCGGCTCGAATCGTCGACGACCGAGTGCTTTCCGATCGGCTCGATTCACTGGCACTGCGAAGAGATGTTGCATCTTTGCATTTTATTTCGCATATACCATGGAGAGTGCTCTGAGGAATTGTTCGGATTAATCCCAGCCGCCAAATTTCGTGAACGCACTACGCGGTAATCGTCCCGATACCATCTACACCAACTGCATGCTTGGCGGTCCACCACTGTACGTTTCAAGAGGATTTTTCTTCCGCGTACAACCTCTCTGTGGAATAGTTTACCACCAGCAATTTTTCCGGACCGATACGACCTGGGGACCTTCAAGAAAAGAGCGTACTCCTTTCTAAAGGGCCGGCAACGCACCTGCAATTCCCCTGGTGTTGCGGTTGATCATGGGCGGCGGTAGTCACTTAACATCAGGTGAGCCGCATGCTCGTTTGCCCCCTCTTCTATATAAAAAAAATTTAACTGCTTGTCTTTCGTTATAGATTTCTTTATTTTTTGTTTAAATTCTAAGAGGTAGAAGAAGTCAGTGGTGAAAACTACTATACATCTTAACTTAACAAGGCAAATGAAGAGAAACAATGTCTTTGTAAATAATAGAAAAAAAATTATGTATTAAAAGTAATGTATTATTTATCTTTATCATTCTTTTACAGCTCTCCAACCATACGTTTGGGTGCTTTGGTCCAGTGGGATAGTTGTTGTTCTAACATTATGGATACTGTACGCGGTTACAATGAGAGCAGCCCTAAAGAATTGGCGGGATGCGAGGACCAACATTTCGACGATTTTGTCAGTTTATCCAGTGAGTGTTACCATATTACATTATTATTATTTCTACACAGTTGTGATAAATGTATCTAAAGTAAGCCTTGGAATTGGAATAAGTACAAATGTTTTCGTATTATAAAATGCAAGTGCATCAGTCCATGCAACATTTTTTATCTTACACAGGTAATCTATATCTATATTATTATACATTTGTTATATACACATCAAAAAAAGTTTGCTATCAGTTTGAAAAATCGAAATCTTTTCTGTTACAACAGACTACCTATATTATAATTTCTTCTTCTTTTTAGACTCTTTACTTAAAAGTATAGAACAATAAAACAAATTTAATTGTTTTTCCATATAAAAAAATCAATCCAAGCTTACGCTTATTCACAAATCTGACTTAGTCAACTTTAAGGGATTTATTTATTTAAAAATAAAGTGCCTAAAAGTATTCTCTACCAGCCAAAAATATTTTTTAGAAGAAAGTTGTAAGAAAAAATTCAAAGAGTAAATTATCGGAAGTAATTTTCGCTCTCAAGGTCTTATCGAGCAAACATTGAAACTTTGAGGGAAGAAGGATATTCAACGAGAGAAATTGCACGTAGAGCTGCTGTATCCCAATGCTATGTCGTGGCCACGTTGCAAAGGTACCACGGCATGGATAATTTAGATGATCAACCCCGCAGTGGTCGCCCAACTGTCTGAAGCTATATATCGCTCTCAGAAGCGTTAAACAATCAACACCACTACAATAAAAGAAGGAGCGCGGGCCGCCTCTGTACTTGAAGTTAGCACTCAGACTCGGAATTGCTTACACCAGGCTGAATTACGAGCACGGAGGTTTTGGCAAGCACCTCTGAATTCACGGCAACGTCGATCGAACGAGATGGCGAGAAAAACATTTGGTAAAACTGTCTCTTCGTTGATGAATCGCGAATCAGTACTCTAGATAAGCGACGTGTCCCTGTCTGGAGAAGACTTGGAGACTCTGAAAAGCAAAGAACTGCCACCAGAACCTTTCAACAGGGCGGGAAAACGGTGTCCTTTTGGAATGATTGGAGCTAGAACGTCTTTGATCCCGTATCGAATCTCTGACGGCAGATAGGTACAAAACAGTTGCTATTGATAGAATTGTCAGACCATTCCCAGTAAACCATGGGCACCAATTCGTACTGGTCGATGATAATGCGCCCGCACATCGAGCTCAACGAGTCAATGCTGCTCTCCGAGAATACGATATCACAAGGTTAGACTGGCTTGCCGGTATGCCTGTTTTAGACCCATTAGAGTACGCGTTGGATGCTCTTAAGCGAGCTGTTTTGATGTGTGTACTTTATTCTCGGAATCGTTTCACGTGGCCTTGTGATGATTACTGCGTCGCGATTCTGGCCTCAGTTCTAATCAGTACTTGTGCTAAGCTCAAATTATTGGTTTCCAGGTCTGGTTGTATTGATGGTCTACTTGTCCTGCGTCTTTAAATTGCATCCTGGTCGTACTTTAAACTTACCACATTATGCGATATATCGATAGAGCGAGCTAGTGAGTGGTAGGGGGAGTATAGACTATAGGCCGTGTTCCAAAATCGTCAGGATGACATAAATTCCCAGATATTATGTTTCAAGTTACCTTCAATTGTATCGTTTGAACCTGTCGTCGTACGTATATTGATAATGATGTGATGATGAAATAAAGAAAGAACGAGAGATATTTATTTGGCCATTTCTTAACAAATTAGCAATAAATACTCAAAACAAACATTATGTTTAGGTATTCTTATAAGTGGACTTAATTATACACTTACAATGAAGAATAAATCATTTTGACAAAGCAGATAGATACAAAATACATTAAAAACACACAAACAGCTAACTTAATAAAAACTTTTTTTTAATGGGAAATGGTCCAAATAGGATTGCCACTCAGGAAACGCTAAGATGTGTCATCTTAGTCCTGATTTTTAGTGGCTACCTCAAGTACACTATATAGATACACACTCATATAATATATATACATATACATAGATATATATATACACATACATACATAAATATATACATACGCATAACACACATACACGTGTATTTGACACACTGGCACATATTTTCTATAGAGAGATATGTTGCATGATGACTACACAAGATGTAATTATCTTTATACCAATAAATGTAAGATTAAATGAACATTGTCACCTACTAGTATACTTAGTATAGAACAAAGACATGAAAGATTTCCAGTAGCAAATAAAAAATGATAAGATAAGCGAAGTGATTTGCGTTTTTGTTTATATTATACCTACTTATTTTTATAGAGTATATAAATGAAGGAATTCGAAATGTTCATCACAATTTTTTTTTTCTTTTAAGAACGTTACCTCCACAGTAGGATTTTCTCATGTATCGTGGAGGCAGTTTACAAACATAAATTTCACAAGGACAAACATCCAGACCCGGAACAATTAATTGTAGGCCATACAACTACTTGTTCCGTGCGGGGTGCGGCCCGCAGCCCTCAGCGCTGTAACTTATTGCTAAGTTACTGCGCCACGGAGCCGTCAATTAACATTTTTTTTAAATTAATAGTGAATTTTAGTTAATACTGCGAAAACGTAATAAGTTTGCTTTTAAACCAACTTCAAAAAAGAGGAGGTACTCAATTCGACTGTAGGTTTTTTTAATGTTAGTTGTTACCTCAAAACTCTTTTCTAGGAGAACCGATTTTAATAATTCTTTTTTATTTGAAAGCTGTTGCTTCTCATGTAGCCAAATTTTATCAAGATCTGACAAGTAGTTTTTGAGTTATCCTTAAATAATGCGTATTTAATTGACTTCGACCACATTGATGAAGTTCTCATTCTATTTACAGTGAAGTCGGTTGTACAAAATTTTTAATTTTACCACTTGTGTTTCTAAATGGGAAGCGACTTAGACGCTCCAACCCATCACCGAAATGGGTCTGTATGTATGCTTCATGGATTCAACGGAGACAATATTTGTGGCACTTGGCTTCACCTTTTCTTTCCCATTGGCTGTGGTTTCTTCGAGCTATATAGCTGGCCAACTATAACAATTTACTGATTTACTGGGCTATGTCGGTTACTCTGGTCTTATATCGGATATTTTCATAACAGATTAAATTATGCACAGAAACTCCGACTGACTCCGAATATATAACCCTGTCCATATGTCACCGAACGACTATAATCTTGTCTAATGTCAAAAAAAAAACCTCCTGCTTGTTATAAAATTTTGGGAAATACTGGAGGATATGTCGTAACGCGGGCCCAGCCTAGTAAGATTCGTAGTAAGATTCAATTTATTTTACAAACAAACAAAATTTTATAGTTTAATTTAGAGATATTCTTTAAAATAATGCTGTAATATTTTATGTTTTATTTGAATCCACGTAACATAAATGCTTGATAATTATTACTAGATGAATTATGTATACTTAGTATCACCGATAAAACAAAGGATATTTTTTGTTCTTCGATTTATAAAGCACTAATCTCACGATTATTAATGTTTGAATAGAAAAGCCATAATGGGCTCCTACTTGCCAAAATATAGGGTCGTGAAAAAAATTGCATAATTTAAATTGCATGGTTTTGGAATAAAAACAGCTTTATACCCACAAAATTATTACGATTTCTGTGCTTGTTTACACCAATGCGTTTTATTGTCATTAAATTTAGGCTTGGAACTATAAATTTACGATACATTAAAAATATATTATTAATTATTGTTCATCGAGCAAGTAGATGAATTTGTATATTTGGGATGCGTATTTAGCAAGGATGGGAGGTATGATAAGGATATAGAACGACGAGTGAACGCAGGAAATAGAGTAAATGTGGCCCTACGTGGCCCACGCCCTGTGGCCGTGGTAGCTCAGATGGTTAGCGCTCGCTGTAAATTTCACAATACGCGAGCAAACCGGGTTCGATTCCCGCCGGCACCAATGAAATTGTTAATTGCAATTTTAAGTGCTGATTTACCACGTGCTCGTCGGTGAAGGAAAACTTCGTCAGGAAACCTGCATGTCTGAGAAATAAGAAAAAAATATATTTCGAAGACATGTGAAGTTCGCCAACACGCATTGGAGCAGCGCGGGGACTATTCCTTGCCCTAAAACCCTCTCAGAAATGAGCGGAGGCCTGTGCCCAGCACTGGGACGTATATGGGCTGTAACTTTACTTTACTTTACACTCTATTGTGGAAAATCAGAATATGTCAAAAAAGCACGTATGGCAATTCACAATGCTGTGTTGGTCCCTACTTTAACGTATGGTAGTGAAAGTTGGGTATGGTAGAAGAAGCACGAGAGTAAAATAAAAGTAGTAGAAATGCGGTCGTAAAGGAGTACCTATGTTAGGGCTAAATCTGAGTGACAGGGTGAGAAATTGTGACAGAAGAGAAGAGTCTGGTTTGCAAGATGATATTGTGAACAGTATTAAAAAAAGAAATGCTTCGGTGGTTTGGTCATGTAGAAAGAATAAATGAGGAAAGAGTGACAAAAAAAATTTATGTTGCAGAAGTGAACGGCAGAGTCGGTAAGGGACGCCCTAGGCTAAGGTTTGTCGACCAAATTGGCAATATATTGAAAATGGTCCGAATTAAGAGTACCCTTAACCGACGAGCATGTATGTGTAAATATATGGATGTGGAGGAGGCGAGAGAGGTGTGTCAGGATCGTACCAAATGGAAGTCCGCTGTCTCTGCCTACCGCTATGGGTGACAGGCGTGAGTGTTTATGTACGTAGATATGTGTTATAATAAATTGTTATATTGTCATATGTATATACGTTGAAATGTAAGTAAAAGAGTATGACACTCTACTCTATACTACTATACTATATTATCTAATGTTAGCATCGCCCATTATTCGTGTCAGGGTCGACAACTTTCTAAATGATCTAAAGCTTTAATATTTAAAGTTTTGAATTAAGATAGGTAAATATAAGTTAAAAGCTGTGCTTGAATGTTTAGTCTCTGAATTTTTTTAGTGCCCCAAGTGTGTTCAAATACAGATACAGGCAAATTCATCCTAACCTATACTCCACCAAATCTATGAAATACTTTTGACAGCTGTCCCATTTATTGAATTTGAACTAATAGGCATTCCAAATTAAAAATAGTGATCATAGACTTATTATACTACTGCTTATATCGATGTTCTTTATATTTATTGCTTACTGCTTATTTCTAAAGATAAAGTTATTTAAATTAAAGACTGTACTAGATTATAAAATTATCTTATCACTTTCACTACAACTGCTGCTAATGAGCTGTCGTCATCATCATCATTGTTTACATTAGTTATTACTTGATTTTCTATAATGCATTCAAAATGAATGTCTTTTTTTACAATCGTCTATAACAATTTTCTTTGGTTTCTCCATCTTTTCGGCCCAGTCATACCTTTTGTAGCATAGCACAAACACTCACGCCTGTCACCCAGAGGGGTAGGCAGAGACCACGGACTTCCATTTGACACGATCCTGACATACCTCTTTCGCCTCCTTTACATCCATATATCTACGCATACATGCTTGTCGGTTAAGAGTACTTTTAACGTGGCCCATTTTCAAAATATCGCCAATTTGGTCGATAAACTTTTTTCTAGGGCGTCCCTTCCCGACTCTGCCGTACACATCTGCCATATAAATTTGTTTTGTCACTCTTTCCTCATTCATTCTTTCTACATGACCAAACCACCGAAGCATTCCTTTCTTAATCCTGGTCACAACATCATCTTGTTATTTCTATATCATCACATTTATTTCTTATCATGCAATTTCTCATCCTGTCATTCAGATTCAACCCTAGCATACTCCTTAAAGACCGCATTTCTACAGCATTTATTCTACTTTCGTGCTTCTTCTGCCACACCCAGCTTTCACTACCATACATTAAAGTAGGGACTAACACAGCATTATGAATTACCATACGTGCCTTTTTTGATACATTCTGGTTCTTCACAATAGAGTGTAGTGCCCCATTCACTCTATTCCCTGCATTTACTCGTCGTTCTATATCCTTATCATATCTACCATCCCTGCTAATATGCAGCCCTGCCCCTGATATACCTTTTGTAGTAGTTGCATTTTCATTCTTAAAACGGATCCTACATGGCAAATATGAGATCGTTTTCCCACGGCCACGTGTCATTTAAGCGTCACCACAAGTTTCGTAAAAACCACTGTCTTGGGAAGAACCAGCAAGAAACCCAGTGGAACTTTAAAAAAAAAAAGCATAATTTACAAAATAATATTTTATACAATTAGTATCTACGAAAACTTTTAGGAACAGCGTGGTAGCGATCACTTCATTGCCAGGAGTTATTATCAATCTTATTATATTCTTTAGTATTGTAATAACCCTTAATAAACAAATTTGTTTAATAAAAATTTTAAACCTTTTGATAAACAAGGCCTGCACATTTTTTAAAACTTTGTTGTAAAAGTACATATGAAAGAATTACTGACTCTTTGGAGTCGAGTGACTGGTATAACTAACATCTGTTCGTGCCTAGTATTTACAAAATGTACATCACTATTTAAAAAAAAAACTATTTCTATATTTGTGTACTTATGTTAAATTTTTGTAAATATATTGAGAGGCCAACGTTAATATATTTATTTCTTTAAATTTTCTCCAAGGGATTCCTTCGGACCTAGGTTATAAATTACTCTTAGGGCTTTCTTCTGCGAACAAAGATAGTTTCAATGTCAGTAGCATTACCCCATAGCAAGATTCCATATGACGTTATGCTATGATAATAACTAAAATAAACTAATCCAGCTATTTCAAGACATCATGTCGATAATCTTTTTTATATTATTGACACAGATTTTTCCACAATGAATATAAAATTGTCCGAATTGGTTATGTTTTTATAGATTTTATATTCTTGTAAAAACAAAGATATTCAACTAGTAGTAGTAATTTAAATATTTTTGTGTAAAAATGTTATTCTATGCATTATCTCTCTAAAAATTTATTTTGCATTTGTCCATTGAAGTAATATGTACTTACGTACTAGAACATCTATTTCAAAAAAAAAGTGTTCGCGCGGTATTTTTTTATCATAGAATAAACATAGGTAGAATGATCAGTAGGTAATAGTAGATTGTATTGTTAAATAGGTAAATTTTATATCGAGAACAATTTTTAAATTTCGTAATTTATTTTGTATATTATATTTGCATATTTAATATAATATTACATAATATTATATAACAATTACATTTTAATGATATTTTTATCTCAATATTTTAAAAGGTCTATGTCAAATATTAAAAAAAAACATACTAAAGGTATGTTTAACAAAACTTATTAATACTACATTTTAAATTACAAATATATTTATTTAAATTAGAATAAGAGTCGTTCATAAATGCTGGGCACGCGAGATATAAAAATGGACGAATTCATTCCATTTTGACTTTGATGTGGAAACCTAAAAATAAAATAAAATAATAATTAGCAGATTTAAATATAAAAAATTTAGCCTAATTACGATAAATTATATAATATGTTTCTACAAAAAAATTGTATAATAATATATTCGCCTTATACTTAAGTACCCACAGAAATGTCGCATCTGAACAAATTAATTTCATACTCTATATTCCATGACACGAAATGGCGTCTTAGGAATAATTTGTTTTATTATTAAACTTTAATACTTTTTTATTGATTAAGTATCTTATTAACCGATGAAAAGTAATTCCTTGGTTTTTACTGACATTTCTTGAATTATTTGTGCAATATCTAAGTATACACAAGGGCATATTTTTATCAAGAGACTTTTTTTAAATCAACACAACACGTGGCAACTCTACAAGCGCCTAGCGAGTGACTGATTAAAGTGCGGTGTATGCACCGCAGTTGAGTGGAACAGAGTAGCTGAATGCAGTGTCGCCTCTAGTACGCAGTACATAATAGCTCAATGCATTTGTCAATTTTTTTTTTGTTAAAATGGTTCTCAATTACTTTTCTACCATTGTTCAAGCCGTATTTTCTAACATACACGCATCGATCACTAATGTTCTTTATTATGCTCGGTTCTTCGGTTCTTTATTATTCGATGCATGGGTACACGTAATTTTGCGGCAGTGGGATTTACAGAAATTAAAAAAATTATACTTGTTTAATTCATGATTCATATAATTTATGCAAATCTAAAATGAATAACATGAATTTGAATCATCCAAACACTACGGTACATAATGTAATAACATTGAAACAACTTAAGCAAAAAAGTTGATTCTGGTTTATTTTTTATAATTTGCTTTGTTTGAAAGATTCAAATTTATATAAGTGATAAAGAACTGTATTGTATGAAATATAGATAACTTCATAATTATTTAGATTTACGTAAATGGTATTATTTTAAATGGTGTAAGTACCTACGCTTGGACAAAGTTATTGCGGAATGATGAATGTGAAAACAAAAATTATTGCGGAACGTTTGGTTGAGTATAACCGTGCTTGGTGTAACGTTAAGCGAAAACATTGAAGTTATGAAAACTATTATTTATTCTTTGGTTATGATAGAATGTTGCATTAGATACAAGAGAACAATCACAACACATTTTTTGAACAACACCAGTGCCGTAATAGCCGGAAACGAAAATCTAAACTAAAATAAAAGTTATTGATATTATTTCAGCTCGTAGCATCTACGGCGCTTATAGCCATTGTTGTACCCCGAGCAACGCTTCTGGCTGAGGCTATAGCGCAAGAGGTAGTGATGATAGCCATGTACCAGTTCTACTGCCTCATCGTAGCCGAATGCGGTGGAACCAGTCAATTTATCAGGTACAATTACATCCAAAGTTTTATTATGATATTGACTATCTAGTATTAATTGAACAACTCTTTTTAACCGACTTCAAAAAAGAGAAGGTTCTCAATTCGAGTGTAGGTTTTTTAATTGTATGTTTGTTACGCGATATCTTCCCAGATTTTGAACCGATTTTGATGATTCTCTTTATTAAATAGGCAATAACTTCGAGGGTGATCCCATATCAATTTGGCAAAATAATTACACCTCTAACTTCTTTTTTAGCAGTTTGAATTCGGTTTTTACTTTTATCTTTTTTATATTAAAAAATAAAAAATGCGGGCGATCACAACAAGATCTTCCTAATGTGTTGTACAGTTGTGAAGCTGTCAGTTCGGAATTATCCTGGTCGATCAGAACTAATCTGTGACTAGATAGTTTTGCATTTAAACACGCCTCGTTATAGATAGGCAATGTGAGTATTCACATTGCCTATGTATAACAAGGCGTGTTTAAGTGTACAAGGAGTATTGTATGTGTAAATTCGATATGTTTAATATTTCGTGTTTTAAGTCGAGAGTAAGAGTGTCAAAATAATGTAATTATTTCAACTTTTCCATTTTAATCTCTATAGGTGAAACACATCTCTTCTGTAGGTGTTTTCCACATTTGTTAGATAGTCCTAGATATCCATGGAATGTAGAATGGAATACAATGTCAGGTTAATAAGTGCAAGCTCTTTTAACCGACTTGAAAAAGGAGGAGGTATTCAATTCGACTGTATGTTTTTGTATGTGTTACCTCTGAACTTTTCTCTGGGTGGTATTTTGATAATTCTTTATTTATTTAAAAGCTAGTGCTTCTCATGTGGTCCGATATAAATTTGATCAAGATCTGACCAGTAGTTTTTGAGTTATCTTCAATGATGCGTATTTAGTTAACTTCGAATACATTGATCATGTTCTCACTTTATTTGTATTGAAGTCGGTTGTAAGTACAAATTTTTTAATTTTACCAGTTGTTTAAATTTTAGGGTTAAAATTGACTAAATTGATTGATGATGACTGTGGATATACAAAGCTCATATTTACATACTATTAAATTTAACTAGAGCGCTTAGTCCAGTTTGCGGCTGTTTATGTTATTACATAAACGCATTTTTGGTAGGATTACAAAGTTACTGCCGTGTCTATGCATTGAAGATAAAAACGAAGTAAACATGTTTTACAAATAGAAACGTATTTACTTATTTTTAGTCCCCTCAATAATTTTTGTCACAAAAATATAGAACGTTTGTACATTTCTAAATAAAACATTTCTAATTTACATTTCTATTATGTGTATAGCTAATTATATGTATAAATAATCATCAAAGATTCATTCATTTCATTCATTCAAATCCATTCAGCCATTCCGCAGAATATTGCGGATAGACAGACCAGGCAGATAAAAATGATAAAAATGGTTATTCATGTTAAATGGCATACAAATAACCCTCTGAGCTCAATAACAGGTTGTTATTATGATATTACATAATTATGTAGTGACTTCAATTTTATTTATACCTATAGATTAATAGAGGAGAGTAACTATATATGGGCTACCATTTTGTTTTTAGGTCACAAATTAAAAACCATTTAAAAATCAACTTTATATTAATGTTATAATATTCAGACATATATTTTCAAAGAGCAAAATATCAGTCTTATATATTACTAAACTATATTATCAAAATTGAGCATTAAACAAAATTGCAAAATTGGCACTAAATATGGAACAGGTACTCAAATATGGGCTATAACAACTTAATTATTTTTTAAGAAATTAAAAAAAACGACCTGTCCTAATTTGAACTGATCAGTTGGAATGATCAGTTGAACTGATCGTGTGTGTCGTTCATAAGTGGTATCGGTTCGAAAAATCGTTGGTGTTAAACGATTCCACAAAGAAGTTGTGCGAGGAAGAAAACTCCTAGTTAATCGCACAGTGGTGGATCACCAAGCAACCAAGCATTTAGATGGTGTGAATGGTAGCGTGTTATTTGAGGTGGTATTTATTAAAAGAAAATAATTTTTACTTTACAGACGTGCAGACGAATCTCGATTAGAAACAAGAGTGATGCCGTGTTGCTGCTGGCCATGTTGCATTTTACCGAGACCGCGGATTAATAAGTACGACTCACTATAATTTCTTATATTTACGCGAACACCTTACATTTAAATAAAACTATTTTTAAGGATTCTATCGCGTACATTAACTTTTTTTATAGGATAAAGGTGACAAACGAGCACACAGTCCACTATATTATATATATAATATAGTGGACTGTATATATATATATATATATATATATATATATATATATATATATATATATATATATATATATATAACAGGAATATTGACAAGTCAAATTGGGTATCACATTGTCGCAATTTGATACAACCTAACCTATGTTAACCACTTTTAAGACAATATATCAATAATATATATACTAAATCGGAAATTGATGAGTGTAAAAATGTAACGGAAAGTAAAAACCACTTTGCAGTATGAAATACCAGCAAAAGGTTCCTTCCTTCTTTCCTTTGCATTACAATGAAACTTACCTTAGATAAATAAAACTTTGATCCCATTGTGTTTAAGTGTTAAATATGTCAATCAAAAAAAAAAAAACTTATCCTAACCAATCTTTTTATTACTCTACCCAATAAGTAACGGATTTTATTCATAAAGTCCGGTCGAATTAAATAAGTCAGTACTTTTTATCACATTGCTTAATCATATTGGGTGTTATTCATACTGCACGGGCATTATGAATAATGTCCTATAATCACTTGGCCCATAACATAATTATATGTATACTCGTATTTTTTTATAGGATAGGATGACAAACGAGCACACAGTCCACCTGATAGTGAGTGGTTGCTGTGGCCCATAGACATCTACATTTATCCTCGATTACGAATTACATTAAATTAAATTACGAATTACTTTAAAAAAAATTAAAAAAACGAAAACTCATTAAATGTACATTAAATATGTATTGCGTTATGTATAATTAAGACATCGATAGTTACTCACGCACTTGAAATATATGGCAATTATTGCCTTTGATAAAATTAATTAACATCGTTAGGATATCGATTATTCGGTTAGGGAGAAAGAGCAGTACCATCGAAATTCTTTACTTAAAATATCTAATATAGATGGGTGTGGATTACAAAAATGATTACTTAATTCGCACACTCACGTTTTTGTCAATATTAATCGACCGAATTTTATTATACGTAATCGACATAACAGTTTTTTAAGTGATGATTATTTATGCTTATTTTATGTTTAGTTATTTTAGTTATGTTAATATATATACCTACCTATCGTATTTTTAGCTGACTCCAAAAAAAGAGGCTTACAATTCGACTGTGTTTTTTGTATGTATGTTCTGCTATATTATGTATATCTCCGTCAGATGTGAACGGATTAAGATATTTTTTTCATTATTAACTATGTTGTACTTACATTAACTAGGTTATAACTACTCTACAATGTAGTGATCAAAGATATTTAAATATATATATATATATATATATATATATATATATATATATATATATATATATACAGGGTGTCCGGTAATAAATAAAAAATAAAATACACTAACTGTGCTTATAGGTAAAATGTAAACAATATGAATCGCTTTTGCAGTTTTTATTTAAAAAATTCGCAAATCAATTTATTTCTGAAAAACATGCAAAAAATATTATTTAAGCGAATTTCAAACCTCTTGGGTATGAAAAAAATGTATGAGTGTATGGGTGACCAATAATTTTACAATAATATCGGTTTCGTGTAGATTTTATAATGGTATAATTCATAAATTTATCTTCCATAAATAGTGACTTATTGCCATTAATGTAGAAAAGGAGAAAATTTGACTAAGTAACAAAATTTGTAATATGGGAACATTTTTTAAATTGAATTGTCTCTGATCATTGGGAATTAACAAAAACACATCAGGAGTTGATCATACATGAAAACAGCTATTTTTAAACAAATTGAAACCAAATTAAGTATTAGAAATTAACTTATTTAAATGTAATAAAATAACCAATTTAAATCTTGAAATGGTTACTTTACTAGCGTGAAATGGGTCGTGTGACCTTCATATTTGCTACCTGCTGCCTTTTGTGTTAGACAAAGAGAGGTCTGAATTGGGTAAGTGGGAGAGAGAAGAGCTAAGCTAAATGTAAAAGAGAACTTAGTGCGTCACACGACCTGCTCGACTTCGCATGTATTTATTTTGTCTCCTTTGCAATTATTTAAATCAGTGTTAAAACGACCACTTGGCTATTTTACCGGACTATTTGTTTTTCTTATTGATTTGGACTTGTTTTGCGTTTGGTGATATTTTCGACGATTTGGCTTGTTTCTGGACTAAACTGGACTTTTGTGTACCAATCAAAATGCCACGTCATCAGTACACGGCACAAGAATATGCAAACATGCATTTTATTTATGGAGAATGCAGAGGCAACGCAAATGCAGCCGCAGCTCTTTATAGGGAGAGGTACCCTAATGCTCGCCACCCAGACTGGCGTGTATTTATAAGAGTCCACGGTTGTTACTCTGAAGGAAGAATGCCGGGTAGTGGTGTCGGTGGTGCTAGCGCTGGAAGAATCGCTCGTCCTGATGTAGAAGACGTGGTGCTTGAGGATATTGAAAACGATCCTTCAACCTCTACGCGAGCAATAGCTCGACGCACAGGTATTGGAAAATCGACCGTACACGATATTTTAAAGAAAAACGAATTCCACCCTTACCACGTTACACGCGTGCAAACTCTCCAACCAAGAGATTATCTCTCAAGAGTGCGTTTTTGCCGGCAAATGCTGGCAAAGATGGAAGAAGCTACCCGCAATTTTTTAATAAAATTTTGTGGAGCGATGAGTCAACGCTTAAAAGAGACGGTTACTTAAATTTACACAATTTACATAGTTGGGAACTAGAAAATCCCCATCTTATGCGTGAAGACAGGTCACAATACCAATTTAAAATAAATTATTGGACCGGAATATTAAATGGTATAATTGGCCCATTTGAATTACCGGGGAATTTAACGGGGCAAAGTTATTTGGAGTTTCTTCAAAATGATCTCTCCAATTTATTACAAGAGGTTTCCGAGGAGCTGAGGGAATCGTATTGGCTGCAAATGACGGTTGTCCTGCGCATTATGCTGTTCCGGTTCGTGCATATTTAAATAGCAGATACCCAAATAGATGGATCGGACGTCTAGGGCCAATTTTGTGGCCTCCACGTTCACCGGATCTAAATCCATTGGATTTTTTTTACTGGAGCTGTCTGAAAGAGGAAGTATACTGTAAGCCCGTGCGGTCTTTGGACGAACTACGCAGTCGTGTCAGAGAAGCCGCATCAAAAATATGCGAGCGACAGTACACTAGACTGCTCAGAAGATCATTTATCCGAAGATGTAGGGCATGCATAAGAGTGTCAGGCAAACAATTTGAACATTTGTTGTAAATTAACGAAAAATAAAATATTTTAATTTTAAATGTTGTTTTTTATTAATCCCCAATGATCAAACACAATTCAATTTAATAAATGTTCCCATATTACAAATTTTGTTACTTAGTCAAATTTTCTCCTTTTCTACATTAATGGCAATAAGTCACTATTTATGGAAGATACATTTATGAATTATACCATTATAAAATCTACACGAAACCGATATTATTGTAAAATTATTGGTCACCCATACATTCATACATTTTTTTCATACCCAAGAGGTTTGAACTTCGCTTAGATAATATTTTTTGCATGTTTTTCAGAAATAAATTGATTTGCGAATTTTTTAAATAAAAACTGCAAAAGCTATTCACATTGTTAACATTTTACCTATAAGCACAGTTAGTGTATAATAATAATATAACAAAAAACCAATAGAAATCATTCATTTTTGGTCATAGTGTTCAAGACAGTAAAATAAGATAGAAAAGAATCGACTTTTCTTTAAAAAAATATATCAAAGGTACTACTTGTGATATATTATTTTTCGTATTTTTTTCAGGACGGCCATAAGTTGTACTATAAGACATTTCAAGGTTATCCATTCATTACCGGACACCCGATATATATATATATATATATATATATATACATTATGTTTTGAGATATATATTATAGAGCGGACATTGGACAAATTTACATAAAAAACTGTGAGCACGCGCGTGTGTTAAGCCCTCTAGCGAAAAATAGCAATATTACGCTGAAAATTTATTGGAAAACATTTTAGCTATTTCTAAATAAATAGTGACGTTACTGGATAACAGAGGGCACTTATTACAATAATTTTTCTTTCTTCTAGAACAATCTACCAGAAATAATAAAATTTAAAGATTATTTGGTAAATATACATTATTCTTAGGATAATAAACCGATATCATGTTCATTTTTTGCTCCATATCGTGGCTTACTGTACCTTAATGCACGACCGGGCATATTTTCTTTAAAAATATTTTTTTAAATATATGAAACGAATGCGTCTCGACCTTTCAGTGATGTCACTTAGACTAAATGACAAAAATCGGAGATATATCCTGTAGGAAAAAAGTTACAGACGACAATTTTGTTGCTGATGTTCGGTCTAGTACTACTTAAATGTCTTTGGTAGTGACGGTGTAACTATACGCACTAACCCATATCGTATATCGTACAGAGAGAAACTGAAACTGGCGATAGACAGCAGAATATTCCGACGCCGGTTGCCAAAGCGCCTGCAAAATATAATGAAGCAATCTACGGGAGGCCTGTGTTTAAAAATAGACTTTAATGGTTTGGGGGCGTCCATAAATTACGTGAGATGTTTAGGTTGAGTCAACTCTCATCTAATCTTACTTTCGTTGTAGAGAGGGGGGGGGGTCTCGGTAAATACCACGCAATTTATTTTCTGATTGAAACAAAAAAATTATACAATTTTGGTCCATTTAATCCAGATTGTACATGCTTAAGATTTAATCTTAAGAGTATATCGTAATACGATTAACCACCAATGATTTCAAAAGGAAGGATAGGCCCTTCTAAATATTTTACTCATTACTTTTTCATACACGAAAAAATAGCGCATCTGTCATAATACAAACGTCATATCAAAACATGATGTAACCAGGGTCGGATTTCGCAGTATAATTATCCTAATTGTATCATTATTTCATAGTTTGTAGTATATAGTATTGTAATAATACAAAGCGAAAATACAATAATTTTACCTAAAGGCCGACTTGTATTATTACTGGGTCCTTTTAAATTTTAATATTAACCCTACGATATCAAGAATTTTTTTATTGTACATGAGTACCGCGTTTTTTAATAAAATTAGAATTAGCTCCCTTTCTGGTCAATCGATGCTCGATCAATGCATTTATGTTGCATCCTTGATACAACTTTGATGAGGGGCTACCAAGATAAAAACTCTATGCTCCAGAAGCAATCGGTTTGAAAACAGAATTTAAAAATATTTTATGAATCAGATTTTCAGATTCAATTAAGCAGATATGGTTTCTTTTGTACTCTTTTCGTTTTACCCTAATTGAATATAAAATATATTAGGTACCAATATTTAAAATTTCACTTACACTAAGTTGTTTAGAAAAAAATTAAACAGAAATAAAAATAAAACCATCAAAAAACGAAACGTATAGATAAACTAGACGCGTGACGCCAAAATCCCGGGACATGGGAAAAAAGAAACATGAAACGTCAAATATGATATAATTTTTTTTAAAAATAGTATAATTTTAATTTCCATGTACAATATTTTTGAGGGTCTGAATCCAGCCCTGGCATAATCTTGGTAACGTAACTAAACTAACTGTAAAATAAAGCTTTGAAAATGCGTTTATATAATAATTTAATTGTAACAAAATTAATATAGGGTTATTTACCGATGATACGATATCCCATGTTTCTTTAAATCTTTGTTTCGTAATTTTGCATTCTTATACCACGCAACTAGACATATTTCTTACAGGCAAATCTGTCCTGCGCGCGCACTACTGTCGACCGATTCGCGTTGGCCCTAAACTGTAATTTTAGGGCCAGCGCACTGGTCCGTTTTAGTTGTTCGGTCGGCCCGGTCTTTCAGTATATTAGAATAGAAAATACTCTGTGGCCCGGTCCTTGCGCTAGTAATATATAAGTCAATGTTGTTGTGTCAAGATTATTAAACCAATTAGTCAAACCAAAGAGTATAGTAGGTATGGCCAAAGACAATTTTTTTAATGAAGGAAAATATAACTTAGAGTTATTACTATACTCTTATCCAAAAATAAAAATTATCAACAATGAAAATATCGAATTATTTGAATTAAGGTCACGTGAGCGCTAGAGAAATGACGATTGTAAGACGTTGTTGATAAATAAAATGTTTAAATGAAATAGTACAGTAAAAATAGAATTTAATTTTACACTAAATTTTCGATCCAATTTTATTTTTTATAAGGTTTAGGATCAATTACTCAGCATAAAATCACAAAATGCTGACAGATCCAGGTGGCGCTTCAAGCGCCATCTTAAAAAATGTTTTCAGCCGATATCTCGGAAACTATGCACTTTAAGGCAAAAGTTACAGAAACTATTATTGTAGAAAGTAAAATTCCGCATCTTTTGTTTCCATTAAACTTTTTTGTAAAACTCACCGTTTACGATTTATGGCCCATTTAATGAACCGGTTTTTCGAACGCGACCAGTAACTCTTGAAATATTAGATTAATCAATAAAATGCATAAATCTATTTTTAAATATCAGTTTATTTTCTAAAACTTTTGTTTGAAACTTTTTTTTTTCTAATGATAGACATTACTTTATTGATTACTTTTTGAGTTATAGGACGTTTAATGTTTTTTTCTTTTCTTTTTTACAATAAACAATTAAGAGAAAAATCTCGATTGGGGCATGGGGGAGGGGGTTGAATAAAATCTCACGACATCCTAACAGGGGGGAGGGAGGGACAGAAAATTTAAAAAACCACCTCACGTAATTTATGGACGCCCCCTTTCACGATAGGTTATACTTAAGGGTTGATATAGAGAAACTATTTCACCCATAAGGGTGGGATATTGTCTAAATAGGGGATGGATGGAAGTTTTTAATATTACTATATATTTAAACGACATTGAGATTGTGACATTTCTTCGTTCACTCAAAAGAGTAAAAAATAACTTTTAATAAAAATTGAAAGCCGTCTTCAAATAAAAATAATAAAATGATTTCACACTCTGAAGTTGGCGCCAAGACAATAGTCACAATAAATTTATCGCATTACGTAACATCCAGTATAGAAGGATAATTAAAGCGGAGTCGGCTTTATTAAAAATTACTTTTTTATTATGAGTGTTGTGCGGGTTGATTTATGTTACCACAGTTTAAAGATAATCTTTACGCAATATTAACTACATTTTATTTTCGTCTCTTTTTAAAATCGCTTACGAATTTTTAGCGGATATAAAGTGTAGTAATGTATTTAAATAATATATAAATTAATTACTGGCTACTAAATGCATATATGGACTTGATACCGAGCTTGGTGATCGTTAATAAGAATTGCAATACAAGTTGCTTAAAGTAATAAAAATAAAAATATAATTGATTGCATATTATTAATTGCATAAAACATTGGAGAAAAATTAGAGAGGGTATGATTTTCAATATTGTTAAAGTCCTATAGGTTATTTTTCCATATTAGATCATTTACACATTTCATACAAATAAACAAAGACATTTTAAAAAGACATAGTTTAAACAAATTTAAAGAAAATAGTAATCGTAAACGAAGAGTACTACTAAGTCAAACATTGATTTACCACTGTTTTTTGACATCAATAACAACTATTATCTGACGCATTGTTTGCAGGAGGAATTTGACTCGTTTGCGCTACTTAGTGCTACAAATACCTATTGTTCAAGCAGTTCTTTATGTAATCATACTGGTGCTGTGGGCAGAGGACATGGTATGTACACTCGCATTTAGTAAGTAAATTCAGCGTTGTTAAAAATAATTATCCTACCTAGCTCAGATTGTTGGCACTTGCTGTAAATTTCACAGTACGCGAGCAAACTGGGTTCGATCCCAGCCGGCACCAATGAAATTGTTAATTAAAATTTTAATGCTGATTTACCACGTGTTCGGCGGTGTAGGAACACATGAAACCTGCATGTCTGACAAATAAGAAAAAAATATTTCTAAGACATGTTGTGAAGTTCCCCAACACGCATTGGGGCAGCGCAGACTCTGCCTTGCCGTCAAAACCCTCTCAGAAATGATGGGAGGCCTGTGCTGAGCATTGGGACGTGTATAGGGTATAACTTTACTTTTTATTTTACTACCTAGGCTACGCTTTTAATGTATTAGTGTCTTTTTTTGTTACGTACAATTACTTTTAAAAATCTGAACTATGTTACTTAGTCCCATTGAAGTAATATGCACTTACGTACTAGAACAGCTATCTCAAACAAAAAATGTGCGCTACTCTGTGTTCAAGCGGTTGGTTTTTTTTATCATAGAATAAACATAGGTAGAATGATCCGATAGTAATAGTAGATTCTATTGTTAAATAGGTAAATTATATCGAAAACCATATTTAAATTTTACCATTTATATTGTATGTTAAATTTGCTTATTTAATATAATATTACATAATATTATATCACAATTACATTTTAATGATGTTTATATCTGAATATTTTAAAAGGTATCTATGTCAAATATAAAAAACGTACTAAATGTATGATAACAAAACTTATTAACATAATATTTAAATTACATGACACGGGATGGCGTCTTAGAAATAATTTGTTTTATTATCAATCTTTGTTATTCTTTTATTGATTAAGTATCTTATTAACCGATGAAAAGTAATTCCTTGGTTTTATCTGAGATTTCTTGAATTATTTGTGCAATATCTAAGTACACCCGACGGCAAATTTTTATCAATAGATATCTTTTAAATCAACACAACACGTGACAACTCTACAAGCGCCTAGCGAGTGACTGATTAAAGTGCGGTGTATGCACCGCAGTTGAGTGGAACAGAGTAGCTGAATGCAGTGTCGGCTCTAGTACGTAGTACATAACAGCTCAATGCTTAGTCCCTATAGAAACATCTTTTTGCTTGTATACTTCCAGCCATTTGTCGTAACTATTTATCTGCATTTTGATTCATAAGCGAATTTGTTTGTTTCAGATGCTGTATCGTCGTGGTTTAATTTTCATTCAGTGTTTCGTTGCAGTATCAATATTATCGGGAATTTGGGGAGTTGTAATGTGTGTGCGTGCCGCAGAAGCGATTGGCGTTAGATTCCGGCCAAGATTCTTGGCTTTGCAATTAGTTCTTATAATAGTAAAACTGCAGTACAGCTTTGCTAAGATACTATCTGATTTGGTGACGTTGCCTTGTATTACGACTCTTAATCCTAACGTCCTAGTTAACGGTAAGAATATTTTCAAAGTAATTTCCATAATACATGTACAAGTTTTCCATACTCTATGTTTTAACGTAGAGTAATTATATATTCTGAGCGTTTAAATGAAACTTTTCTATAGAATAACTATGAGAATATCACTAAGCATATTATACGTGGTAGAGCCACACTTTAGTTATATATTATGGTTGTAGCACGAATGGGTCGGCTCTACCGGGGAAGGACCATGCTCTCACAGAATACCGGCGTAAAATAGCAGCTTAATACTGCTGTGTTTCATATGGTGACTGTAGAAAACCGAAGACCCTTGTTTACTGTAAAAGAGGCATTCCGTCTTAGTCCTCAGGGGTGACAACGCATTGATTTTTAATCGAGGATAAATATAGATGTCTATGAGCCGCAGCATTCACTGACCATCAGGTGGACTGTGTGCGTGTTAAAAAAATATATTATGAGCGTTTAAATGAAACTTTTCTATAGAATTTCCATGAGAATACCAGTAAGCGGCGTCGTAGTTATTAATTTATTATTGACGAGCACTTGTGATTAAATATTATCACATATTACAAAGTATTGAAGAGACGGAAAAGTAAGAAACTAATGCCTACTTTCCCGTTCACTGCTCACATTATCATCGATATAATTATAGAATGAGTAACAATGGGCCCGTAATTTTGGATATAGCTACTTATGGCAAATGAATTATATAAAGACGGAGATGATCGTCCCGGCATACAGACAAAAAATTCAAAAAAATCACGTTCTAATGGCATAATGGGGTTATTACCCCCTGCGCTTAATAGAATAGGATAGAATAGAAACCAGTTCTATTATACAACACCACTTGATTTTAGATGCTGGAGAGCTATTCTATTCTTCTTCCGACTGATGTCCGGGATATCATCGTAATCATTTTAGATGCTGGAGAGCTATTCTATTCTTCTTCCGACTGATGTCCAGGATATCATCGTAATCATTTTAGATACTGGAGAGCTATTCTATTCTTCTTCCGACTGATGTCCGGGATATCATCGGAATCATTTTAGATGCTGGAGAGCTATTCTATTCTTCTTCCGACTGATGTCCGGGATATCATCGGAATCATTTTAGATGCTGGAGAGCTATTCTATTCTTCTTCCGACTGATGTCCGGGATATCATCGGAATCATTTTCATCGTTCAGATTTATTATAACTAACATTAGAAAGTATATTTATAATCAGAACAAGTGTAGGATCACACTTGCTCTTGGATCACTCATCCAACGATGATGTGAAAGTCAAGAACCTCCCAACAACATCTCATATCGCCTGGAAATGATGTTGCCACAGTCGATCTTCAACTTCGACTGGTGATTCATTTCGGCAGACAGATTTCTAGCAAAGACTTTGGAACCTTGGTTGCGCTTAATTGCTTCTTAAACACGAGCTGTATTGAAGTTGCGCAAGCCTCATCATATGCATTTGGCGATCAGTCTGTTCAGTGGTCTATATGTTGTCGTGTCTGTTGGAGATTGCAGCTTCATTTCCCGTCTATGAGACATGAGATCAAAAGTGTGATCAGAGAGTTTTGTGTTTTTCTGCGACGAGTCTTGCAGAAATTAGCTCCCACTTCATGAACAGTTTCTATAAGCTTGTCATTTTTATCGTTCCCTATATTGCAATCTTCTAGGCACTGAAAAAAATTTTATAATACATGCTGAAAGTTTTAGTGATGCTCTACATTAGAGCACTACGCCTCTCCAACTTAACGTCAAGGTTCAGTGTGCTTCTTAAAATTTTGTGATCACTATCAGTTTCAACCTTCGCGATCACTGAGACGTTAAGTCGCCTATTACAATACCAACGTGACGATATGGGGTAGTTAATACTACTACATTGCTACTACACGGTAAAACGGTTAATTTCTAGTGTTCTTAACTTCTTCATAGTTAAAATGATTTTAACTAAAAGTAGGTAAAGTAAAGGCGAATAATAATTTTTGTTGACATAGTTGAAAATATGGAAGTATCAAGGTAACAAGTAAAATTAGTGACAGTAGATTGAGGTGTGGCTGGGTGGGTCAACATTTAATCCCGTTACAGGAGGTTTTCCTTCCCCTATCTACCCCTTTTTCTGCACCCTATCACACAGCGGGATACTAGAAATGCTTAGCAGTGTGTAATCAATAAAAAATATTTTGTTTCTCAAAAACTACCGGGTTCCGCTTTCCCTACATCCGCATTACCTATTTCTTCTTTTACCGGGGGTTTTCACTGGTTCTTTTACACACCTTTCTAATGAAATTGAATTAAAAATAATTTTTTTATTGACAAATTTTACTATTACACATACTAATGTTCAATTTCGATTTCTGTTGAATGAATTGGCCCTCCTCGTGTTCGAAGGATTAGCGGTTGTTCTCAGTTGTAAAAACCAATTAACGAACTCGGTGCAAAACTGTCGTTTCAAAGATGGGTGCCGTTACTGGCTTGGTTTTATTATATTCAGAGGGTGAATAAAGAAACAGTCTATATATTATTTCTTACAATGTGAGGGTTATAAGGCAAGGGACGGTCGGCCAGCGCTATACCAGTGTACGTTGTAGAATTTCACTTGTCCTCCAAACGTTTTTGACGTTGTCTGTGCAGAATAACATCGCAAACATGCGCAGAGCATGTATTTTTTATAGGATAGGGTAACAGATGAACACACAGTCCTTTTGTTAAATTTTACGTGATAGTTAATTTAACTTTTTTCTATAGGATAGGGTGACAAGCGAGCACACAATCCACCTGATGGTAAGCGGTTGCTGTGGCCTGTAGACATCTACATATATTCTCACATACGAATCAAAACGCAGATGCGTTGTCACACGTAAGGACTAAGATGGAATGCCTCGTTTCCAGCAAAAAGTTTCTTCGGTTCTCTACACTCACCATACGAAACACAGCAACGTTAAGCCGCTGTTTTACGCTGGTATTCTGTGAGATCGTGGCCCTTCCCCGGTCGAGCCGACCCATTCGTGCTACAACTATACTACTGATATAGCTTTAGCATTACTTTAGCTTTACCACGTTTTAAACTAGGCGAGCGCTTTATCTGATTCTATAATTTTCTGAGGCACTTTTCCCAGCGCCGACGAGGAAGCAATTGATTATCGATTATTTTCTCGCTCGAGAAAGGATCAACAGATGTAGATCCCGTGTCACTAAAAGAGATACATATTAATAGTTGATCGCTGGTTGTTCACATTGCAGTGCCGACGAGAACTCTCACTCCATTCGTTTGTCGCAACGACTATAGCTACTAAAGATAAAACTCGGTCAGCGATGCTCGCTCAGCGATGCTCGCTTGGGGGTCAGAAATCACACCGAAAGACCAACCAGCGCAGCGGTCCAGCGACAAAACTATCGCACTGCACACACGCTTTCGTCGTCTCGACAACTCTTATCTAGATTCTAGTTCTACTAGCTTCTTGTTAATAGTTGGCGGTGGGACAAATGCCTTAGACGATTGTAACGACGTTGACGGAATGGAATGTTGATTTAACACCTAGAAGATTTACTGCACTTTGTTTTGTTTAAAATATATTATCATTTATTTCAGTGACGCAAAACACTCTTACAATATTTGAAATGATCCTTCTATCTATTTGGGCCTGGCGTCTTTACGCTGTATCACCAGAAAAGGTTGAATACAAAGTAAAGAAGATCGGTGTTACTGTTCTAGAAGAAGGTACCGGAGTACTGGACGTGAGATCGTCGAAGGGTGGTACTGATAACAAATCCTTTAATAATTAAAAGTTAAGGTAGATTGTAGTAACTAAATGTTAAAACTAAAATATGTACTAATATAACTCTGTGTTGTTCTTGTGATGTATTACTTATTTGTTGCAATCATTATAAATTAAGTATAATTTCATCATCGCTACCACCATTACAGCTTTTGACAAGTTCAAGTTTTGCGTAGTAGAGCCAAGCTATAGCCGTATTGTGGTTGCATTACAAATACGGTGTAATAAACGCTCTTACTGAATACTAGTGTGATATAGCAGGGGGTATACTCAGAGGGTAACAACGCATTTGTATTTTAATACGATAATAGATGTAAGTGCCTTTAGGCCACAGCATCTACTTACCATCAGGTAGACTATGTCATCATGTGCTCGTTTGTCGACCTTACTCTCATAAAATGTCCACTGCAGAACATAATATGCCTCCTCCAAGGAATGCCACATAACACAGTTCTGAGCCACCTGCGTCTATCGACTCCCAGTATGACTCACCAGGTCGTTACACAAATAAGTGATGTATATATAATGCTCTACTATTAGCATATAGTTCGGATCACATCAGCGCAGTGAAAATATATTATAAGCAACTTACATAGTAAGCGATAGTAATCCAGTACTTTTAGGTTTAAGCCAATACAACTTGGGGACTTCTGCGATGTGTCAGGTGGTATAATGTTTACCAATGTTTACAAATGTGTGTGTAGGTATTTTGTATTTCGTATATAAAACTTTCTATACTGTACCTGATTTTATTTTTATGTGTTGTAAAACATATTTTACAATAAAAAATATCTTTAAAAACTTTTGTTTTATTTTTTTAAGTATGAACTTTTGATATTTATCAAAAGTATGATTTAGTAAATGATTGTATGATTTTTGTAGAATGAATGATTATATTCTATTTAAAAAATATTGTAGTCATAAAATTCAATATGCCGACTAATTTTTGCTATTCCTCAAAGTATAATTTGATAATAAAGTAATATGATTTTATTCTATTCAAAGAAACATTGTAGTCAGTCAGTGTTTTTATGTGGTACAACCAAGCTACAGCTATATTAGTATTATTATAGCAAGAATGAGTTGGCTCAACTGGGGAAGGACCACGCTCTCAGAATGAATACCAGCGTAAAATAGCAGCTTAACGCTGCTGTGTTTCGTATGGTGAGTGTGAACCGGAGATCCTTTTTACTGGAAACGACACATTCCATCTTCGTCCTCGCGGGTAACAACGCATCTGCATTTTGATTCATAATCGAGGATTGATGTAGACGTCTATGGGCCGAAGCAATCATTTACCATCAGGTGGACTGGGTGTTCGTTTTTCATACTTATCCTATAAAAAAATCTTCCCCGTTTTCACTATGTTAAACGTAGTTACAAACTGGAAACGGGGAAGATTTTTTCGGGGAAGGATAGGACTTTCAATTCTTTGCACCTTAAGGAAGATGGTTTTTTAATCGATTAAAAAATAGTAGCGAACATACGCATCAACTAAATGACAAACAAGAAAGTGAGTTTATGTTGCATTTTCATCCACTTCTGAGCTATGTTAGAAATTTTATGTCTGTAACTCATCGAGAAGTTACATAAAAATGGATTGCAAGGTTTGTATCTCACAGAAAAACAGACCTTAAAACCTTTAACCTTTGCGATCATTATTATCATTATCATCATAACGACCCTATACTTGACTTTGACTTTGGACTTGCATTGCTGAACATAGGCCTTTCCCATGGAAAGCCATAAAGCTCGGTCCTGAGCTACCTGCATCCATCGACTTCCTGTATATCTAACGATCGTCGAAAGGTCGTCACTCTATAAAGTGGGTGAACGCCCTGCACTTCGCCTACCGGTACGAGGCTGCCATTCGAGAACCTTTCTGCCCCATCGATTGTCGGCTCTTCGAGCTATATGGTCGGCCCATTGCCATTTTAGTTTACTGATGTTTAGTGACAACAAAAGCGTCACACATATGATAAGGTTGCGCTGGCAGATAATTTCTAATATTTTTTAAATTAAAAATGTAACCGTATTTTTAAAAAAAATATAGGTTTTTAATTGAAATATTAAAAAAATATTGTTCCTATTCTTTTATATATTTAAGAAGTTTAAACGCTTGTAAATTATTAATCTAATAAGTGTTTTTTTTTACATTTCTTTAATTTTAGTTATAAAAAAAATGTTAACAATGCGATATTAACTCAAGTTTTATTAATATCGCATTACTAAATATTATGGAACCCTGTTTTTAAAACTTTTCATGGGCTGTTTTTAAAGGCTGATTTCAGAGCAACATCGTTTTAGATTGAAGCGGACATGGAACCTAAGCTCTGTGCCTTCCGTACTATTTATACAAAGGTTATATATAAACTCTCCGCTGGGTTAGTTTTTATTCGTGGTAGTGAATCAAATCAACTTGGGAATGATCACACTCCTCTAGATTAGTACTATTAATTATTTTGTGTCTAGATTACGAGCATAATGCTCCTGTGTTTCGTCACTTTTTTTAGAATTGTTGACACTTTTTTTACTGGTAAAATGTTATTCTTATCTAATCTTATAAAGTTACAACTACCTCAGTTGTAACTTTTAATAGAGGTACAATCTGCTTTTTATTTTAATGTTAAGATCAGGTGGACTTGCGCTTATTTGTCACGCTTGTTTCTATTTATTATATAGTTATTTGGACACATTTGCATCTCAGAAATGTTGTTAATTAAAAAAAATATTAATCATAGTTATGTATTGAAAAATTAACACATGACATACAATCGACATAAAATGATCTATGATATTCTATCTATGATATCTATGATATGATATAACACCTTACTGATTTAAAAATCTCAGTCAAAATCCGAGATTTAGTTTAGTATTTTTAAGGTAAAAAATTGGCAATAGAATATAATACACTAAAGCGTCAATCCATTCTGTATTTATTTGTTATTAAAATTAAGTACCTAGGTATAAAAATTCCCTAGAGATCTTAAAAGTACTTGTTTTTGTTATATTCTCTAATTATAGTACATTTATAATGAAAAATCATTCCATTATACTTTCTAGTACCTTTTAGTAATCCATAGCTTATAATTTATCTCCTAAAACGACACTCAAAGACCGTTCCAAGACTATAACTGCGTTACAGAATTGCTTTTACGTATCTGATTACTATTAATCGTTTTCTTTCTCGGAGGTGCTACTTTGAGAACTATCTTCATTATCTTCTGAAGGTGTACTAGCGCGAGAGTTTTCAGACCCGTAAATATTGTGAAGTTCTTCTAACTTATAATGTATTTTCACTCCTTTTGTTGCAGTCTTGTTAACTTTATTTACGAGAGATTTTGTTTGCTCCTCCAACCTCTTTAATCTTAAATCGCGAGCGGCAAATATCGCTTCATGTTTCAGATCGTTGGATGTCGATAAATCGGGTTGAACATTTGCGGTTTCCAAATTACTTTTAACCACATCCATTACAGATCCACTCGGTTGAGGCATACAATCTCTGGATTTGTGATACTTACTATGAAGTGTCGCTAATTTATTCGAAATTTGTTCACCTGTGTTAAGGGTACTTGTAATGCTATTTAGTACATCGGAGCAAGCACTTTCTAAATTTTGCAGTCTTTGATCCTTTAACGTAAGATGCTCATTTTGTCGTTTGATATTTTCCATAATAGTATTAAAATCTAGAGAGGGTTGTATAGATGTTGACGAATTATTTGAGGGAAGTGGCGTTTTAGTTGCTTCATTTTTGTTTTGCAAGGGTAAATTTTCACCATCAGTTAAGGATGTATTTTGTATTGATCGATTTTGATCTAGATAGTTTGATGCCGTTGCGTTATCATCTCGATGAGAAGTTTGATTTATTTCTATATATGAATTTGATTCAGTTTTTTCTGGTCCTTTTAACTGAATACTGTAAATTTCATTGTTATGTTTACTAGATGAAGGCCGATTAATTAAATGATCCAGTGTATTATTAATTTGGTCGCCTAATTTTGATACTGTTTGAGTTTTTTTAAGAAGTAAATTGCTGTCTTTTTCAAGTGTTTCTAATTTTTTGTCTTTCCTGGCCAGCATTTCGTTTTGTTCCTTTATGCTGCTTAAAATCGTCAGAGGATCGATTGCTCCTTGAGTATCAGTTAATTGTTTACACGATTCGCTGTTATCTTCAAAGGGTTCTACTATAGAATATTCTTCTAAGCACGAGTCGTTACCAATATCACCGACTTCATCTTCTGTTTCTTCATAATCTTGCTCATATGTATTCAAATGTTCATTGTTGCAAGAAGCAGATGTCTCTAATGGTTCAGGATCTTGATTGTCTAGTGGCAATTCAGCAACGTCCAACATGTCACTCGCAGGATCCTCTCTTTCTGCAGCTAAATTACATTCTGCACTTGAGTCTATTACTGTATTGAAAGATTTTTTAACTTTCTTCTTACATCTTACTGGCGATTCTTTTATATATTTACTTTCATCGTTTGACTCTGATGATTCATCAGAAGGTCTTTCGTCACTGTAACCACTTTCCGCTGAATTATTAATAGATGTTGAGGTAGATTTTAGTTTTCTACTTGAAAACTCTGCTCGCAACTTTTTCCAATCTTTTTCAGATTGCGAATTTTTCTCGCGGGCTTGTTCCCACTTCTCCCGGCAGTATTGCAGTTCTTCTTTCAGTTCGTTAAGCAGTTTTCGTTTCTGTTGTAATTCATACTTAAGTATCTTTTCATGTGTGTGTAATTGATGATGATGTCTTCGAAGGCGGCCTACGACGTGCCAGGTTTTGCTCAATTCTGTTGTTACTAGACATAGTCGGCGTTCTTGTTCTTGTAAGCGCGTTTCCAAGTGTCCATTGAGTTGTTTCATCCGGTTAACTTCTTTAATTAGTGTTAATTTTTCGATAATCAAATCCTGAAATAAATAAATTTATTTAATTTATATCAAGAATTTACTGAATTAATAAATGTAAAGAGAAAGTATTGACAATTTGGCATTAACCGCCGTATTTTTAAAATTTGCAAGTAAATTTGGCTCAATACCAACTCTTATAATAGGATCACGGTTTTGTGCAAAAGATTGGTCATAAAGATGTTTTTGTTATCTTACATTTTTAGCATTGACTCACAGCTTAAAACAATACCATTTTATAATGATGAAATAAATATTAATTTACCTTTAATCTGATATAAGTTTGGCTAACACTTGGTACTAATACCGGTCCTGACTTAGTGTCCACTGATTTATAACAAGTTGTTACTTTCGCGGTATTATTCACATCTGGCACAGCTTGATGACTCAATAGCTCCATGAGTACTCTCCAAACTTTTGGAAGGTTTTGTACAATTTCTTCTACTGTAGCGTTTCCAGAGTTTTCAGTGGCTGTGAAATAAAAATAAGTAGATATACTAAAATAAGTTTGTAAATGAAATTTATGTAAAATAAAAATAAGCTGTAAAATAAGTTTCTTTTTTTAATATAAAAAATAAAAGTCAAAATATCATACCTGTTTTCCTTGCCTGTTTGTTTTCATCTTCTGATTCTTTCATATCTTCATTTGACATGATAGTTGAATTAGTTTCTTCCGTGTCTTCCACTTGACTAACTAATTGCAATAAAAGTTTGGGTAAAGCCGATGAAGTTTCTGACCCATTATCTTGCCCAGCCATTTGTGTAAGTATACCATGGTTCTCTTCAAGACGAATAATGAGTTTATCTAAATCTTGTTTATTTTTGTATCCCAGAAGTACTTGTGAAAATAGCTGTAAAAACAGAAATGCAAATGCAAAAGTTTATTTAAATCTTACGTTACAAAGAACTTACTTGCTGAAAATATTTACCTTATTGACTACATCCATTTCAGCTTTTAGGCCACCGGTTTCATTTTGGTATGATACTATTTGATTATTTTTATCTTCAATAGATTCTTCCAGCGTACTCACGTATGTTTCAAGTTCTACTACTTTTGCATTTAATTCGTTTCGCCTGAAAATATAGTAATTTAAAATAAATTAATGTCGTCGTACTTAAAATAGGTAATAATAAAAGAAGACATATGTATTTTCATTGACATTTACTTTTTGATTTCAATTTGATTAATTTCTTTTTGTTCCTCTAGTTCCCTCTGCAATGCTTGCCTAGTTACTTCAGCTAATCGTGCTCTTTCTTCATAAAGGCCGCGTAATGTACGAATATTTTGGAGTTGACGTTCATATTCTTGTCTTAAATCAGCGGATAACATTTTCGTCTCCCTATCTGCTAGTGACTGCTCAATTTCATGCAACTTTTTTTTCAACTGCAATAAGATAAAATAAATAATGTATCATTATAGGTTTAATTTTCCGATGGACTGCACGTGTCAATTGTTTTAGACGTATATTACTAATTAGGCAAATTGAACTCTCTGGCGTTTTGTCAATATTTAGTGCCAAACAAATACAAAGCGACGCGTATGACTAAATTGCGTCGTTGCGGTCTCCGACCTGCGCTGCGGCGAAACTTTCCTCATGTAGGTCGATGCCTTTATAAATAAGGAATGAAAATACATCACATTGTGGACATCACTCGCATTTATAAAGTCAGCACAAAGAAGAAAACGAATACTTAAAAGTATAATAAGTAATGAACAGTGGTGGCGTTAGAGAATGTTGATATAATGATTTTGTAATAATCCTTATAAAGAAATTAAAACGTGGTTTTAACGTATTTTTTACACGGTACAGCCATACTGCAGCAAACTGTAGTTGTATCATGAATAGCCGGTCTATTTATCTCTCACGATTGAAAAAGGACTCGTAATCCAGCACAGATGATGATCTGTTACCGTCAGGTGGACTATGTGCTTGTTTATCACCTTTACTACATTTTGTGTCCATATTAGACATAGCTTCTGGAAGTGTAAGATATCTCAATAAAACACTACTTGGCAGAAAAACACTGGCCATATTCCTATAATCAAAAGTTAATGCCGTACCGTAGAATACTATAATACACAATAGAAGGGCTGTCAACCTTATTTTGTACGAGGATCGGTGTCACCGGGACCACACATACAAGCAATTACGTCGTACTATCACTACTACAAACCCGATTCGCTGCATTGACAGACTGAGCGAATTTACACATTTTAGACTTTTGATTAATGTTTTTGACACTTCCATATTTCTTTATTTTTGTTTCTGATATTTACAAAATATAAATAGTTTCGACTTATTGGTTGTAGGGTAGGATATGTCTCCTTTATTTAAATTCCATTTCCCGCTGTTCTTTCGACAAGTAATTATTGCACGATTTACCATTTTTTAAAAATTTTCACGCAGCGATGCTTGACACGAAAATTGGAAACGATTGATTGTGTTGACATTTATAGGTATGAATTGACATGTTAGTGGCTAGTTCTATTATGTATGTATTATAGTATTCTATGTGCCGTACTGTCTTAAAAACTAAAAATCAGTTATAAAACTATTCACATTAATTTGGTGCAACCGTTTCTTCTTCATTATTCATCAAAGTACATTGCTAGACACTTCAAAAGAAATCCTGAAGTCTGAAATGTTATATACAAGTAATCTGAATGAAGACTTAAATTTTAAGATTATTTTTTCTCCTTTGATGTTTTATGTTTCTTTATCTTTAAAATTGTCGTTATAAATTAAAATACTTTCAGAATTTCATAAAGTTATAGTAAATATTTCTGTAATACGAAAAGCACTTAATAGATAATCACTATCAGCCTTTTGATAAATGTTTTTAAAATAGGCTTATAATGATTATGGAATCAAGAATTATAAGATATGTATGATGTGGTGTTTCTTTCAGCGACCAAATAGCTTGAAGGCGACTAACGCTAAGTGATACCTTTTCAATACACTGACAGTATTTACTACTGTTGTTTAATATACTAGCATGGCTAACTACGTTTTCATTCTGTAATAGTACGCATAACAGGTAAATTGCTACCGATGAATCAGCGATATTGACGTATTAATATTTAGTAATTTCAGTCTTATTATGTAAGTAAATTTTTATAAAAGAACGAATAAACATATAAAGTGCGCTGATTTCTATCAAACAAATAATTTATACTCAAAATGTAGTTTTATTAAGTCTACATTTTATTTGTTCATACTTTCTTTACAATGGTTGGAGTGAAATACAGACAGACATATAGCGCCGTATTTAGTAAGCTTGTATAATATTTTAAATAACATTGTTTGCGACTTAACATGTGCGATCTTTGATCGCATGTTGGTGGCACGCTATTTCAACCCTGGAGAAGATAAGGTACCAACGTGCAATGTAATTTTATGAAGTTTTGAGATAAGTGGTAGTTATTTTTAACATCTTCGTCTTCACAGCTTTCAAATTAAAAGTAACAATAAGAATTTTGTATAAACAATTCTGATGTCCCCATAGTATTTTCTTTAAATACAAATATATGATCTTACGCAAGGGTGCGAGCCATGCTACAGCTATATTATGGTTTATAGTACGAATGGGTCGGCTCGACCGGGGAAGGGCCACGGTCTCACATTCACCAGCGTGAAATAGCAGCTTAATGCTACTGTGTTTCGTATGTTGAGTGTAGAGTTCTGGAAAGCCCTTTTGCTGGAAACGAGACATACCATCTTACTCCTCAGGGGTATCGCATCTACATTTTGATTATTAATCGAGGATAAATGTAGAAGTCTATAGTCCACAGCATCCATTTAACATCAGGTAGACTGTGTGCTCGTTTGTGACCCTATTATATAAAAAAAGTCCAGCGCTTGACTAAAATCTCATCTAGTAATAAGTAGTTATGTAAACCTAGATAATCAATCGCACTGTTGGAATCGTCACTTATTCGTTTGGATGAACTGTTTTATGAAATGACAATCCTAATAATTTCGAAAATTTTAAATTGCATTCATAACTATAATCAGATAAACTTTATGATGCCAACACACACTTTAAAAGAGTGCACAAAAAACCCTGTTCACTGTTGTCTTACAAACATATAATAGATTATAAATTAAGGGAAAGACAGATGGCAAACTCTCGAATTATAAAGCAAACTGTGCATACTCTTCGCAATGTATCTTATAAAATATCGAACGAATAAGCTAAGTAAGCGCTTATGCTCTACGCAAGCCTCTAGCAAGGCCTTTTTTTTTTTGTTACATGGGGAAATGCCTACGCATACCCGCCTCGCGGGGGGCAAGGACGGGTTATGTCGGACTCGCACCGACTAAAACCCCATGGTGTTCCACCTTTGTCGCATATTGGCAGGGCTACGGGAACGCTTTCGCACACATCCGCGGCCCTACTAGCGCCTGCCGCCCCATGGCAGCACCTCCTCGGGAGAGGAAAATTCCTCCCCGTTCTCCTTCTAGGTAAGGTGCACCAGAACACATGGCGCGCCTTCCTCCACGGCCTCCAATTACGTCTGTGCAACAGACGCCCCCGCGTCCCATGCACAAAGGCCATGGGGCCAGGAAAAACGAGCACTTAGAAGTACTAGCCTTCCCGACCCCAGCGGCGGATCTGGTCTATGGCTTCGCCGCCAACCAAGATTCGGCTGCGGAGGGTAGGGAGAGCGGCGCCTCGCAATACCGACAATCCTCTCCCCCCGCAGCCCCACCACCACCGCATCAACGGTGCGGCCCCGTTTGAGTCGCGGAGGATAGGGCGAGTGGCGCATCGCCATACCAACACTCCTCTTCCTCCGCGACTCCACCTCGGCTGCAGCGGTACGTGGGGAGGACACACCTCTCACCGCAGTCCACCAACACACATCCAAAGTGGGTTTCCCAAGCCCACTCGGAGTGGCCACCTCGGGCCGGCCCTCCACCTCGGACCAGCCATATGGGTTCCTCTTTGTTTCGCCGTGGGTGACCAAGCCACGGCTTCTAAGCCCCACCGCCACGACAAGGCGGGAACCCGTTCGGGGGGGCTCTAGCAAGGCTTATGATCCCTACTGAGTTCAAAGTTGCTAGGTTACATTTTTCAGGACTTGCGCTTTATATAGTCTAAGAAACTGTGTAGCCTGGAATACAACCACACATTTACAAGGAAACCTAGTTTTAGAACCAGTTTTTAGAAAAAAATAAATATATAGAGTGGCAGCCTCGCATCGGTAAGAGATGTGTAGGGTGGCTCCCATTTGAAGGTGTGAAGACTTGGTAAGTGATGCAGAAAGTTGATGACTGCAGGTGGCTCAGGACTGTACTCCGTGGCATTTGTGGAGACCTATGTTCAGTAAGTGACTTGTTATGGGTTGTGATAATGATGAGCATATCCTTAACACCTACAGTTTCACAATTCTCATGGCCCGTGAAATATTAAAAGGGTGATTTTTTACCTAATCTATGTATACACGTCCACGGTGTGGTGTGGCATTTTTGTGGTGCATATAGCGTAGTAATATTTTTACCACGATGTGGGGTGTTTCCTTAATTTCTTAAAAACGCTTTTGAAGAAAGTAAATATTTATTAATCTGGTTTTTTATTGTATATTTTATGATCCCTACGCTTAAATAGGTTATGATGATAAAGTAAATTAATTTTTTTGGACTTATATTTTAAACCCATATTGGGTTTTAAAAATAAGTCCAAAGTCTAAAGTCCTAAGTCTTTTAATAAATATCATATTTTGTTACTATATTTTTTCGATATTTTGATATTTAGAATAAATATTAGGTATTTTCGCATAATGTTAATTATAAGAAAGATTATCAACTTACGTCGTTCAGTTGTTGTTCCCGTAAATTAATCATGGTTTTGCTGACGTTAATCACTTCTTTAAGCGAATTGATCTGTTTAATGGATTCTGTATTTTGGGCACTAAGACCTGCAATATCGGAATAAGCATCTTGCAAAGCGTTATTAGATTTTGCTAGTTCACACCTTAATTTGTTGTTGTTAAATTTTAATTTTTCTACTTCTTCTTTCATTTGTAGTAAAGCATTTAAAACATCGGAGTTTTCCTTGGAAGCTTGCAATTCTTCCGGTATATCAATATTATTTTGAATCAATAATTCACGTAGAAGTTTATTTTTTTCAACTAATTCTAATTTGGCTCTAGTTTCATTTTCCAAAGATTTCTCTAATTCTTTTTTTTCAGTTCTATGTCTCAATAAAATTTCTTTTCTCTGTTCACGCTTAATAGTTAGTTGTCTTTTAAATTCATCCAACTCTTCCCCTCTTCGTTTGGAACGATTGTCGTCTTCGCTAACAGTATCATGAAATTCTTCAATTGTATCCTTATAACCAGAATCACCATTTTTATCCATTGTTTCGCTTTCACATATAATTTTATCACTCACAAGTGTTGTGTTTACCCTCGTTGAGGCACCACTGAGAAAGTTTCCCATATTGGGATACTTTTATAAACAACCCGTGATTTTATTGTAGGTAATGACCGTTATACTTTTAATAAGACAAAGATCCGCCGACTACTTGGAGCAGTATAAGCATGAGGCCGCGATCCTAAAATAGATCCCCCGTCAGCACCAGACGTGTTCCTACGTTTCAAGTACGTATTGCCGAACGGTTAGGACGTTCCTATTTCGACCAACGTCTGTCAATTATTTATTTTTAACGTATTATTTCATGTTGTGTTACACTTCTCTAAATCGATATTTTATATTCGTCATGACTAAACATTGGCTATCATTGTTTTCCAAAAAGAACCGAGTTTCTTGGAATTTTTAATCCTTGAAAATAATACAGTTTTATATTATCTACTATTAGAAATTTTTCATGACGTTGGTATTTACATACACAATTTGCCAATATTTGTACCGTGTGGCCATCGCACACGCGAACCTAAGTGCCGTATTCAAATGCCACTAATAATGCGCTGGTCAGCCTTCGATGTTTTGAAACCAACATTATTATAATTGTGTTAACAAATATTGTTTGGACAACTCCGAAGCTTATTGTTTAGCATTCACAAAAAGCACTTAGGTATTTACTAGTATGGCCATAAATTCTTTTACACATTAAAATGTATGTACTTTCAAAAACAGTGTTATAATAATAAAACTTATGTGTAGGTACATAATTATCAAAGTGTACGAGATTAATTAATTTATTTTTCCATTAGTCTGTCGTTTTGATTCAGGTCTCTAAATTCTCTGGTCTCGAATCTATTGATTTACGCACAGTCTCCATGAGGAATTTTGTCACTGAATAGACAAGAAGTGAGTCGGAAGAATTGAGAGACTCAATGTCGGAAAAATGATTTGAATAGGCCATTTTTTGTAAATGACAAGCTTACAGTTCATCTGATGATAATGGCTACTATAATCCATGGGTACCTGTAGCCAACTTCAAACAAAGAAGGCTACTGAAGTGCTTGTACCTATGTGGTATGATTATACTGGCTGTTAATATCCTTTAAACCAGAATACAGCAGTGCAAGTGCCTTTTATCCATGGATATGGTAGAAGACCTCTCCTACTGATCACAATTTGTAGACCTACGGGTTCAGATCTGAATTGTATGAATACTTCAGCTCTTATGTAGTCCGGAACATTGTACTCGAGACTGGTTCGAGGTGTTCGTGACCCAGAAGAGTCTCACTGGACACGGTAGGTACATTTTTTTAAAGTGTATCACTGTGTGGTTCACTCCAAGATTCAAGATAGTTCATATAAAGGTCTACTGTTAAACATTGGGCCATGTATAGATTATTATACCACTCCTTAGATTACCTCTTAGGGAATAGTCAAGCGATCTGTCGCCTCTTACGATGCCCACGGGACGATACTTGGGATCAGGAATTCTCTCACGGCCACTACACGGCTACAGCATTTAAGTCTTATATGTATTTCGCCAAAAACAATGGCTATCACAAAAAAATATTTCTTAGAAGGGGACGCTTTAAACAATTTATTTATATTATATATAGGATATGGGCAAATCGAAGTGCGCCTAAGTACATACAATGACATGGGTGAGTGGGCCCATTGCAAAAACTGCGGACTTTTACGGCTTGTATTGATGATGATGATGATGATGAAGAAAATCATCTAGGGTTAGTGGTGCGACATTTATTTTTACAAGGCAGCACGAATCCTTGGCAATGATAAAACCATATATATTATATCAATATTGAGAAAATTAAATTAAATTTGGCATTATTTTCTTCAATACGATTTCTTACTTATTTATAAATAAAATGTGTTTTTCCAATATTAGGCAAATGGCGGTAAACATTATGACGAAGGAAGCAAAATGTAATAATATGTTTTCCTGAGCGAGAAGACAATTGGAATCAAAGAAAAGTGAAGTAAATTTATAAAATCCTTACCTTTAAATCGCAAGAGTTTTTTAACAATGTTCTTAGAAAATACAATTCTACAAGTGTAATCTTAGGCGGATTTAGAGCGGTGTTCGTAGCACACAAAAATTTATCGATCTATGTAAATAAAAGCGATCTTTCTGTAACAATCATTCTAACGCCGACAGACTTTTGTCAGACGACTAAAGACTGAAGAAGAAATCGGTGTTAAAAATCCTTAAAATAATTTTATTGTTATTTAAATTAATTATTATTTCTAGTATAGTTTCGAATCATTCATCTCTTGTAGTTCTTGCTGTGTCAATATTTTATTATCAATCTCAAAGATGTATAGTTATGAAACACTAAAATATAGGATGTCAACTGGGTAGATGATAATGCACTATTCCCTCACTACCATAGTTCTATGAGACGGCAATCCAACATGAACGAAGAGAGACCATGCTCAGGACCGATGACTTTACGTGCTTTCTGAGACACGAAGGTGAAAACATCGCCAACTTCCTGACTTCGGATTGCTACCGAGAATTCCTTGACAGGTAAACCCAATAATTGATATTGGCCTGACTTGGGATTCAAACCAGAATCATATTTATTTCGTACGATACTTTCAACGTACAACAAATTACCGTATGTCGTTTGAGTCTCCGCAGAGGTCAAATTTCGTCCTACTAGCGTTATTAACACAGGTGTTTGTAACATGACATCATGAGTTTGAATACATATTGTAATTTTGGAAATCGGATATCGAAATATCGGTATCGTAGGATACAAAACCGCAAGCGTCCTATTTCTATCACAATATTAACAGCTGTTTTACAATCGCAGCTATCTGGTAGGTCAGAGGCAATATAAAACATGGTTTATTTGTACTTTCTTTCTTTTATACGATCGATAATATAAGCTTGTTAGCTTCACCTGTATGTATTTATGTAAGAATTGTAACAACACTTCCAGACGTCTGAATAATTTGAAATTTTGCAGACGTATTACAATAATTACAATAATTTCACGCCTATGGCCTTATAATATAAGCAGATGGCTAGACTCCACTGAACTGAACTGGCCGCTGTGACTCAAATTTGGTCTGGAGTAGAATATAATTATTCTCACTAGGATGATAACAGCTCATATATAATGCGTGTTTTTATTAAATCTAATATTATTAAATAATTCATTCCACATTTTTTTTTTCAATTTAAGAGTAGGCAAACGGGCATGCGGCTCACCCGATGGCAAGTGATTACAACTGCCCATGAACAAATGCAACACCAAGGATGCAACACCAAATATGTTGTCAGCCATTTAAAAAAGAGTGGGCTCTAAAGATGGGCGAAACTGTTATATTTTTCTAATTCGTTATGTTGTTGTAATATATTTTTCTAACTGTTGTTTTAAACTGTTATAATATATTATAACAGTTTTAAATATTACATTGTACACGCGGTTAGTTCAGTTCAGTCGTCGGCTGTGTTCGCGTTTTGTTTAACGAAAAATAAACAAAAACAACAATAGCTTTTTCACGTAATATGGGGACCTGCTATCAAAACATTACATATATAATTTAACAGATAACAGTGTCATTGTCATCTCAGCTAGACAGCTAACTGAACACTAAACTGATATATTATATATTACAACAGCCAAATTAAATAACAGGCAACTAATGAAGGAAATAATATATTTTTGTTTACCGTTATAATTTAGTGTTAGTAAAATAAGCTCTTATTAAGTTAGCTTAGAGTTTAAATTAGTGTAAGCTATACGCAATCCTTGTGGTATAATGAATATAGGTAGTATTTTATTGACTCCCATTGTCTCGGCCGACGCGACGGTTGGACCGTAAACGTAAACAGATGACGCTTTCTAACGATAATGAATATAATATTATAACAGTCAATGGTTCATTATTCTAATGTGTTGTAAGATTAAAAATATATAATGAAATATATTATCTGTTGTATGTTATAACGCCCAACTTTAGTGGGCTCTTTTCTTCAGGTTCCCTAAGTCGTATTGAAGCGAAAAAATCTCTGGTATTTTTTTTAATTTGATATAACACAACTTCAAACTTGAATACAATATACGTCCATCTTGAACACAACTACGTCTGAGCACCGCAATGCATTTTGCAGGACAGTGTCGGACTATCGAATTTGTCGGATTATAGAGTACAAACTGCCTAAGACCTATATAGTCCGTTATTTTTTACAAAAGAGTACCTTGTAATCCGACAAATTACAGATCCAATGATAAGATTCTATATGTTATATATATATATATGTGTGTACTCTGAAGTACAAATCATACTTCATTATGTATGTCAAATTTAGTAAATTTAATAACACAATAGAGAGCTTACGTTTTATTATAAAATTAATGTCATTAAAGCTGTAGAACTTAAGAAAAATATGCAATAACTTTACATTAGGAAATGATTGTGTATAAACAAATGTACCTACATACTAAAATAATCAAAAATTATGAATCAATCAATTTAAGACGCATCAGATTTAGAGCGTTATCAAGAAGTAATAACGCTTTTTGAGGAAAATTATGATCAATCAACCGTTTTCAGAATCAAATCGTCGAGCACAATAGTGGTGGGGCCATTATTGTGCTCGAAGTTATAACTTGTTCAGTCATGCATTAGCGAAGATTGTTGAAAAAATATTCAATAATAAATAATAGACCGTGTCGGATTACAGGGGGTGCCGGATTACACAGGGAGTCCAATGTAGTTAAATAAACGCACAATCAATTGAGACCTTTTCGGGGCAGTAAAACTAAATTTCGCGCCCGCTAGATTTTTTTAATGATAACGCACGCTTGGTACAGTCCATTCTGAAAGGGCTAGTAAAGTGAGACAAGGCGAGGGTATGCCAACTTTTTAAATTTTTACATATTTATTTTAGTTGGTCAAAAGAATTTTAAACAATGACACAGTTTTTTACCATCAGCTTCATAAAAGGATGAGAATCTTAA